ATATGCACACCAGTTATGAGTCAGAAACGAATGCAGAACTATGAAGCGTGGGGACACGTGAACCTTTTCCACTTGTAAAGCTGTGAAACATCCTGAAACTTCAGGCGCTTGGGATGGACGTAGGATTTCTGTGTGATTTCCAATAGATAAAAATTGTTGTTGGTATCGTTTGCTCTGATTCATCACTAGCCCTTTTATCAGAATTCCTTGTGGTGCTGTTTTTTGGGCTATTTGATTTCCTTTCTCTTTTTATGGTGTCTTAAGTCAAAATAAGAAGAGGTTTTTTTTTTTTCAGAGTAAAGCACTCACTGGTCTGGGATTAGGTAAGACTGCAGGTTGGGGGAAGCCTCTCTGCCCTCGCTGGTGGGGGGGAATGGAAGCAGGACAGATGGATTATTAAAGTCAGCCCTGTGCAGTGATCCCGCAGGTCCAGCCCAGGCCTGAAATGCATGATTGGGAACCTGGGTTGCAGATCACGGGCCACTGCCTGGTGGGAGCTGTAAATGCCACTTCGGTGTCCTCTCTGCTGTATGATGCTAGCGGAAGACTTTCTGGCCCCTCCTTGTGTGCCTTCTGCCTCCTACTTAGTCCTGTCTTTGAGAGTCCTAGACCAAGCTAACTACCCCTACTCCCTATTTCCCTTGAACCAGCCATACAATCAGACTAGGAATCTGGCACCCCAGGTTGTGGTTGTCTGTCTCTCTGTCCATCTGCTTTTCTCCTTCCCACACTACCTTCCTGGCAGAACGCCCTTGGAAAATTAAACATCACTTCCAGATAGAAACTGAACATGGGAAGAGAGCTGTTCTCATTTCTGCATCATTAAAAACAGTAGGAAACAGGAATCCGAGGTACCCTTTCTAAAGTAAACCAAACAAACCCCCCTGTCAGGTTTGTTTTTGTTGTTGTTTATGGTGATGGTTTTCAATTGTTTGATGATAATACGCTCAGTGCTGGTGGAGTTACTGTAAGAAGGAATTCCCACTGCTGGTGGGAGTACAGTTTGACAGGCTCTTTTTGGAAATTATTTGGCAGGATATATCAAGATGAGACTCCTGGCCTTTGACCTACTGATTTTACTTCCAGGAATTTATGCTAAGGAAATAATTGGGGACACGGGCAGTGATCTACTACAGGGATGTGATTGCAGCACTATTTATAATAGCTAAAAAGTAATGGTAATGTACACACACACAGTCAGAAAAAGGTTACATAAATCAGGATATACTGTATAAGAGGATGCCTTCTAGCCATTTTTAAAAACGTAGTATCAAGAGCTATTTAGTGACATTGTAAAATATTTTATTAAGTGATTTAAAGCCCATATAAGTAACTGTAGTAATATGCCCTCACTTTTCAGTGATTTCTAGGAGTATAAATTATAGGTGAGCTTATTGCTTTTGCTCATGCTTTTTAGTATTTTTCAGTTTTCTACAAAGCCACCTGGAATTTTGCTTATCTGAATTTAGTAAGGTTAATTTGCTTCAGTATGTTGAGTTTACCTCTCCAATGAGAGCACCTCTCATCTTGTAACAGCCCCATCCATGATCATGGCAGGGAGAGGAGAGAGGGTCTACCCTATCCAGCTTCAGACAGGGAGCCTGCCTGGATATCCCTGTCGACAGCACGGCAGGCATGACCTGGCTGAGGTACCAGACATCCCATCATGAAGTGAGTCACCACAGAAGGGTATCAAGCTGATGAGATTGCTACACACTGTACTTGAACTATCAGCCACAAGCCTGCATGCTGCCAAGTCTTTTAGCCTTATCTTCCTAACCCGTTGTCCCTTCACTGTCCAGCAAATGCCAAAGGAACTGACTGGGACTGTCTGACTCCTTTTGAGGAGCCGGGAGGCCAACAAACTGCTGCTGATGCAAGGCTTCCAATTGGATGCAAACCAGACCAGCACGCCTGCCTGCCTTTCGTGCTAAAGTCGAAGCTGCTGTTGTTGCTTAGATGAGGGGCTTGTCAGGCCTAGAACACAGGGATATTTATGCAAAAACTGTTCTGGAGCGTTCCTCTCCGATATACCCAGCTGGACTGAGAGCTGCAGAGAAGCCTCTAGAGGTCATCTGCTGAAATTGTAGTTACAAAGTTATTTCCTCCTACCTCAACCACAATCATTTGTTATCTTTGGCCTCACTAGTGGGGAAAAAAAGTTGAGAATTCCATATCAGAGGGTTAAGAACCAAAAGGGTTTTTTGGGGAGAGGGGGTAGCTGGTGTTTTGGATTTACATGGAATGAGGGGGTTTTTTTGTCAATTGTTGTCATTTTTATGAGATTATACAGTTTGGGGCCATTATCATCATTCTTGTGCATCTTTTATCCTATTTTAATCTTGTATGAGTTGCATCAAAACTATCAGTTTCTCTTGCCTCTTAGAGGAGTATTTATATGAACACAGGCCTTCTGTTGCTATAAATATCATTATAGAATATAAAATATGCAGTAATATTGTTGATAGTAACATCATATGTCTCTGAAGTGCAAATGAATAAAAGATGTAATTCTCTTAGTTTTAAAAAATCAGGAACACTATGGGGTATACATTTTATTGTTATAGTAACTCAAAACTAGTGATAATAAATTTAAAATTGTGATAATTTCAGAGCAAGTAATTATTATTGCTATTATTAAAACACAATCAAATGAAATTCTATTGGTTATTAAATTTTTTAGCTGATGCTATGGGCAATTGCCATGGGGATTGAGGAGTAACTTCTTACCATAGTTATGAATACACTGCATTCCAGCTGCACCCCCAGATAATTTTAGCCTTGTTCTATTGGCCAAGAACCATGTAGAAATCTGAGGATATGAAAAAACACTCAGAACCCACATTGTGTTCCCTGGGCTATGTTCCCAACTATGCCTGTAGTTAAAGCCATAATTCTTGGTTTAGATGTGATAGGAATCTAGACATGTTTTCTATGCATGACAGTTGTTGTTAAAAAAAAAAAAAAGTTCTGAGGGCTTTTTAATTGTCCTGTGGTAATCAGCATCAAAGGAACATAAGTTTCTCTTGAAACTCGAAGTTGCTCCTGGTCAGATCCCGGTTCCTGGGCTGGGCTGCATGAAGGATCAATGCAGGGCCTTGCCTACTGGGCTGATATCTGGTGGATGAGGTCAAAGAGAGAGAAGAGTGAGAACGTGAGACCTCTCTGGCCAACACGGTACTGCAGCTATGCCGTGGGTATGAGGCCGCACTGCTCCGAGACTCAAGACAGAGTCAACCAGAGCAGGTCTTACACTAATAATAGAGTGACTTACACTCAGCTGATGAATCTTACTGTCTCATATTACAGTTGTAATCTGTCCCATCTTGTCAAAGATATTTTAAGCTCTCTGATGTCACGGACCTTAAAAATTCCATGTATTGTCTTTATCAGTCTCGGTGCTCCATAACAAGTCTTCACTGGATTGAGAAAAAAAATTCAGTAAACTCTCTTTAAATTTGATTTCTCCCTATATGAATTCCATCTGCTATATGAACCTACCAGACAGAACATTGGAGGCAGGATTGTAGAGTTTGTTGGAATTTACAATGTGTAGGATCTTACTGATTGTCTATTGCTATATTCCTGTGTTCCCTTTAAAATGTGGTAAGCATCTAAAGGAAACTCATAAATCAGTGGTTAAAAAGATTGCTAAGGCTATGGCCAAGCCTGCAGAGAAGCTTGGCACAGCCCAGACAAAGAGTAAGCCCTGCTATCCCAGCACCCTGGCAACAAGAGCCCTGGGATTGGGGGGTAGGGGGTGAGATTTAAACTGTATCCTCATCACTTACAAGCTGGGATTTAAACCATGTCCCCAGTCATGCCTCACCTTAGCCCAAGTTTTCATAGCTGTATTTGGCAATTTTAATAGTGCCTGTTTAGGTAAACTGAGGTAATTAGACCCATTACTGGGTCTCATGTCAGAATTGGTGTGACCCTATGGAAGTCCCATTAAGTAGGACATTTATACGTTCTTACTAAATTCCAGTCTGCTTAGAAAATCTGTTCCCCTTGACTTGAATTTTTATCGTTTTCACCTCCATGGAGTGGCTGGTCTGAACGGTCCAGCAGCTGGCCGCCCTCCAGGTGCTGCAGGTGCTGTGGTGACTGGATGGTTTCCATATTTTCCCAGCTATTGTGTTTGCACTATTTGTGGTTTAATGTGATTTCATGGAGTTACTAAGGTGTTTGTATAATTTGTGGAATTAGTCAAAGAGCTAGCATAACCAGTTAAAACCCACACACCATATTTTAGCCAGTAACCTCAGCTTTTCCTCTTCAAACCTTTGATCAGTTACCCATCAAAGACCAAAAGAAATTTAAGGTTTCCGTTCTTTTATTTTTAATTGCCTTTTTACTGGGGCCTTTTCTTTGAGTGTCAAAATGCCCAAAGTCCATGAAGGAGAAAGATCAGGCCTAGAAAGCAAACCTCCAAAGAACTGTGCCATGCCAGTAATTGCATGCAGTCTCCAAAGAAGTGTGTGTTCATAACTGTTACCATGTTAACTAATGTAGTGCTTTGGATCTCCAATGGCAAGTGCCCCATTTAGTTAAAAATGCAAACAGAACATTATTTTCTGAATGAATGACCTTTGTAGCCCATTAAAAATTATCATTTCTGCTGAGACATGCTTTTAAAATACTCACACAACAGTCAGAGCTGAAGGCTGATTATAAGCCAGTCTGTTTGAGAACTAGGCTGGCAAGAGGATGTCAGTGTTGGAGTTCATGTCCATGAGGAGCAATGGACATGATAGAAGATGCTCCCGTTCCCAAGAGTTAGTTCTGCAGGACAAAGAAACATGTTTGCACTTCAAGGAATTGTAGAACATGGATTTCTTGGAGATGCGGAGGTCTGGTCTGGAGAACTGTGACTTGGCGCTGGCCACTTGTCCCTGGGTTTCAGTGCGCCCAGCACCCTATCATTTGGCCTCCATGAACCTGCTCCCATTGTGGTTTCCCCATGTGCTGATGAGTTTTCTGGTTATTCTGTCTTGCAGCCCCCCGAATCCAAGCCCAACTTCACCCCTCTCGCCATCTTGGCCCATGTTCTCGGCACCATCCAGCCCTATGCCCACCTCATCCACGTCCAGCGACTCATCCCCCGTCAGGTCTGTGGCAGAGTTTGTTTGGTTTTCTGTTGCTGCTGTTGTTCTCTCATTGGCTTGGTCCTCTCTTCATGCAGTGTTCAGCCTCCTCGTCAACTTTGTTCCCTGCCATCCAAACCTGCACTTGCTTTTTGACAGGCCAGAAGAAGCGGTTCATGGAGATTCCAGGTAAAACCACAGATGATGACCAATCTGCTCCCATTTATCCAAACAAAGCTGGTCAGAGACAACAGGGACCTCCTCTGCTCTCTTGTGGTTCAATCCTAACAGACCACAGTCGGGAAGGACCATTTGTATGAACCCAAATGCCATTTTTCACTCCTTTTCTAACCCAAATGCCAGCCTCACTAAGGCTTCTGTTTAGATGGCTCTCTTAGTCGTCTGGGCTCTCTGCACTTTGCTGTAACATAGCAAAGGAACAGTATTGAGATGCATGGTGGCCTGGTGGCCTTTTCTTCTCTCATTTTGATCAGGTAATACCAGGCAGTATTTGTGGAGATGTGGAGTGCTGACACGTCTCTCAGACCAGATTCACGGGGTGAAAGACAAATGTAACACACAATGAAAGATGGAGACACGAAGCAACTTCTCTTTAATTGATCATGCCTTTTCCCCCGGGCCCTCCCTAAACTCCGGAAGTCATCTGGGCTCCCCTCTGCTTCTGTCTCTGCATCCTGAGCCTGACAGCTGCAGGGACACGCAGCGCCTCTTGAAGGGCAAAGAGCTGACCTAGTTCCTCTCCCCAGTGGCTAGGAGGTGTGGTTTTCTCTGTCCCAGTAACTTCCATACTTATATTCTTTGCTCTTGAGCTCTTTGTAGAATAAAAGCTCTTCAAACCCAGGAAAAAAAGAAAGATCCTGCAAACTCCATCAACTGTGTGGGACCTGAGCATGGATGGTTCTAAAACTTAGTCCTGCTTTCAGATAACTACTATGCAACCCAGTTTTAAATAGCATAAGCATTTTGGGCTTTGGCAATATTTTCCAATCTTTTCTGCAAAGAGGTAGGTCAAGCTGACAGGCTTAAATAATTTATAAAACTGGCATATATACATATATATATATATATATATATATATGTCCCTATTCTTATGTATATAAATGAATGTGCTATATATAGCTGTGATATACATACATATATATGTGTGTGTACATATATATGTGTATATATATATATTTTTTTTAATTTGTATTTAATTCCCCTCCAGGCATATTCATATGTATCAATTTATTCTATCCTCATGTATGAATCAGAAGAGAAATGCCATAATCCCTAATGTACAAAAAGGAAACCAGGGTAGAGAGAGATGATTCGGACACAGTCAGATGACAATGTGAGAGCCAGGGCAGAATTCAGGAGTGCTCTTCCCAGCCCAGCACTCTTTCCTCCAAACGCCTGGGTGCCTTCACATGAGTAACCCCAACTTTAAGTTGTTTTGCAGCTCTCAGTCCAGGGCACTGGCTGCCACATCAGTCTTTATCCCGGATGATGGGAAAGATAACTTTTCAATACTTTCCCTCGTTACATAAGTATAAAACTTCAGATCCTATTTATATGACATTCCAATGATTCCCTAATTATGTTTTAGACAGTTTCTGGGTACTTTGGGAATCATTTCCTTTCTAGGACACCAGAGCCGGTAAGAATTGTTCTTTGAGGACCTACACCAGACCAAATTACAATGACCAGAGAGAGTCGCCTTTCAGAGGTGCCTCACTTGCCCACTGGGGAGATGTGGACATTAGGAGAATGTGGCTTATTCGTTTTTATCAAAAGGGAGTAAAATTTTCAAAACATTGGCCTCTTAGACAAAATGGATTAACTCAGGATAGTGGAGTCAGCTAAAATGTGGACTATTCCCTAACTTGACAGTGTTTACCTCTTCCCATCCCTTAGCTGTGGTCCCTTCACTTGTCAAGGATCTACTTCTCCACTCCCAGCTCCTAGAATATTTACAGACCCCCCCCCCCCCAACATTAGGTACTCCTCCCCACCTCCCAGTGTATTTTCAGATTGTCAGAGCACAGTTGTCCTAGGCTGTGCTCACCTTGCCTTTGGGGATCAGGGTTACTTGGTACTGCCCCATCTGGTCATTGTTAGAAGAGCACCATTTGGAGGCTGCTGTCCTACAGCCCTTCAGGAAGGTGCCATTTTGGAATAGGGAAGACAGAAGAAGGCTGGAAATGGGCAGTAACTTAGCTAAGTGTGTGAGCCGCGGTGAGCAGATAGGAACACTGCTGGAGAGTGAGCTCACCAAGAGGAATTGAAAGGACTGTAGTCCCCTAATTATTATTGCAGTGTACAGTCAAGAGATGTGGACACCCATCATTCAGGTCCATGGGGTCCTTTCCCCAAATCTACTCCCAGAACATGACACTTCAGATTTCCTTCCCTGGGAAAGGCTTCGAGGGCAGGAATTTAGCTCAGCAGTATAAGTGCCTGCCTGGCAAGCACAAGGTCATGAGTTGGATCCCTGGTACCTCCCCCCCAAATTAATATTGAATAAGATCTTATAAATGGTCGCATGAACTTCTACATGCTGTCTCTGGCAGTGGTTTCGTCTCCCTCTTCACACCATTTTAAGGGAACTTGTTGGTTCATGCTCTGGAATGCAAATGCCTTTTGTAGCGCAGAAGAGCAAGGGTTACAAGAGCATCCCTTCTCGTTTTCTTTCTTTCTCTGAGCCACATACCTCTCAAGCCCCCACCCCCACAGCCATAATGTGCATTCGCACATGGGCCTGGAAATTGTGCCTGAATGACCAAGTCCTTGCAACTCGCCAGTCCAGCTGGCTCCTCCTCTGATAGTGCACGCACTGGAGAGTGTGTTGTTGTTCTGCAAGCTTGCAAGGGCATTTGAGGGAAACTCCTCTGAGTGCTTTCCTGGCCTTGCGCCATGCTCAGAGGCGAAAACCAACCGTGAACCAGCAGAAGGGTCCACATTCACTCGCTCATACCCTTGAAGGCCGAGTTAAGGGCAAAAGGGTGTTGAGGCAGAAACAGCCGAAACCACCCCACCCTCTCTGTGTTTGGTCTCCACGATCAGAGAGTAGGGAGCAGAAGAATCAGAGGTGCTTGGTGCAAGTTTTTTACTTCTTTAATTGGAGCCAAATCCTACAAGTAAAACCCTTCTGCCAGTAGGATCTGTCTGTTTTGGTAGGAACTTTACCTAAAGCAAACTCCTCAAGGATTTTGAGAGAGAGTTACAACGCATAGACTTGGGCTGACAAACATTTTAAAAGATAAGACTCTCCCTAGGGTGGGGTTGGCAAACTTAGCAAATAAAATAAAAATATTGTATAATCAATTAAATTTGAGTTGAGATAAACAGCAAATAATTACTTAGCATATGTATGTCCCATGCAATCTTTTGGATATTCATATGTCAAAAAAGTATTCACTTATCTAAAATTCAGATTTAACTCAGTGTCATTTATTTTATCTGGCAACCCTGAGAATAGGAATGCCCCCTTTTAAAAGCTCAGTAGTAGAGCACCTGGCCTAGCATGCACAACGCTCTGAATTCCATCGCCAGCACCACACACACACACAAAATAATAAGTCATAATAAAAGCACCCTTTCTGTCATCCCTCCTTGTATTTATTTACTTATTTATTTTGTACATCCCAAAGGAGTGGAGGGAGTTTCTGGGGAAAGGACTGTACCAAAGACTGGCAGTCACCTGTTAAGGGAAAAATATTCCCTGACCTTTTTTTTTTTTTATTTTAGTGAATTATTTTCTTGCTATTTTATTATTCAATTCCAAAGACCCCATATTAGTGGAAATTACTTCTTTCAGATGGTATCTTAGGCACCCAAGATCATTCCCTGTGCTTTCTGCCTGCCAAATACCCTAGCTGGTTTCTCTGATCTGTCCCTATTTTGTCCCATTTCCTTTAAATAATGAGGTTAATAAATAAACTCTATAAAAACTCAACCAAAGGAACCTTGCCTTCCCTTGTCTCTGCTCTTTACCCACCTGTTCTGCCCTATTGTCAGGAGCCTTGAAACATGGTCTGTAAGACCTTGGCTTGTATGGATTCTCTTCTGCCTTCTATGTCATGACAGGCTCCCCTTGCCTGCCAGAGTAGGTTTTTGGCTATTGTGGTACATTTTGCAGCCAGATGTTTCCTCTTCTCTGCTCCCCACCCCTTGAAAAGAGGACACCCTCCCTCCTTTGGAAATTTGCACATTGAATATTTGACCCTTCCTTGCCGACATGTAGACTTGGGTTAGATTACAGAAAATGCCCCTTGTCCCAAAGTGTATCCCTTAAAAATAATCAGAAGGAAGAGCTGTTTTCCACTGGAGGTGACAAACACGAAGGCTCTCTCCTTCATTCCCAGTGGCCCCATTTAATTTTCTTCCACTTCTCTAATTTTCTCCCACCTGGCCATCATCTCGTAGCTACTAGAATATCAAAGAGAACAACAGTAAACTTGTTTCCCTGACAACAAATTCTGGATAATCGTTTACTCACCCTACTGTGTAACAAACTCTGTGATTTGATTTTGATTTTTCTTCCTTCCATTTTCATGAATCCCAAACTGGAAGGTTTAGATCCTTGGACCTGCTGTAGGTTTCCATCCATTTGTGCCTGTCCTTTCCCGAAGGAAAACTGCACTTGACAATGCCAAAAAATAGCAGCCTTACCCAACACCAGACCTTTCTCCAGCTGGGTTTCGTTCAGCCACTAGACATCGGTGGACTCTGGGAGCTTTAAGCCCTTCTGTTTCCTCGAGGCTTTCCATGAGTCAGGTGAAGATAAAAGAAATAATGGGTCCCCCTTCAATAATTTTCTAACCTAGAGGACCTTGTTTCAAAAAAACAAAATTGCCTCTGAGGCCTTTAATGTACTTCCTCACTTGGAGGAAGACCACTTGTGGCATATAAAGAACCAACTTGTGAAAATAAAATTTCACTGTGGCCTTGAGAGGTCTATAGACTGAAACTAGTTGGATATCAAAACCACAATTGACAGAAGGTAGCAGGACTTACCAGTTCTTAAAAATGACTTTCCAGAGCTCAGGTTAACACACTCTCGCCTGGGGTGGATCAAATCCAGCCCCTGGCCTGTTTTTTATACATAATGTTTTATTAAAACACAGCTACACTGATTCGTTTACATTTGTCTGGAGCTGCTAACATGCCACAGAGCTGCACTGAGTAGCTGCAGTGAAGAAAGACCATATGGCCTACAAAGCCTGAGAGTTACTGTTTGGCCCTTTGCAAAAGAAGTTTGCCAACTTCTGCTCAGCCCTAGTTGCTTATGAGAATCAGTTGGAGAGTGGTGACCACCTAGTAGTAATTTTTTAAGTTCTGATCTCTGTTTTTGTTTCTGCAAGTTAGTAGAACCTCTATCTGCAATTTTTAGATGCCCCAAGTTGATTCTGATACACAGAGTGGTTGTCAATACTTATGGGCATGAGAAGGACAAAAAAAAACAAAACCCTAACCAAAATCGCGTTCCCTTTCTTATTTCCCTCCTTCCTACATGCCTGTATGCACTCATGCACATACATGTGCAACTCCTCACACGCACCTTCTCCTCCATTCCCTGCCCTGCCCCGTGGGCCAGGGAGTTCCAGCTCTGGAATCCTGCCCCACCAGCGAGACCCAGCCTAATGAGAAATGAGGAACATCTGGGAGCTAACGTCAGGTTCCAGCCTGGAGCTGAAACCTGGCTTTGCTGGAATTGCTCCTTGATTCGTTGAACCCTGCCAACTTCCAAGAGTGCTGGGAGTATTCTCCAGAGCAGCTTGGAAGGTTCTTCCCGACCCTCCTTCCTCCCTCCCCCAAGGTACTCCCGCTCCAGACACAGGGTCCGGCCTGCCTCCCACACTGAGCTCCCAGCTAAACTGTTAATGCTGCACAACGTGATCCCTCAACAACTGTGCTTTCTTGAAGCTTATAGCTTTTCTGAGTAGTTCTCATCTTTCTCCTGTGACCTCTACAGCTTTCCCACTCCATGTTTTATATCATCTGGCTGCCTTGTCAGGCTCTTCCCATGAGAGAAGATTAGGTGCTTGCAAGGAAAGGGAAGAAGAGACATGAAAGAGGTAGGACTTTCTGCGGGTTGAAGAAAATGTTAAATAAATTCCTGTTTTCACACAGCACACCATTCCGGAAGGCAAAGGCCTTGTATGCCTGCAAAGCTGAGCATGATTCGGAGCTGTCATTCACAGCAGGGACGGTCTTTGATAATGGTGAGTTTTTCATCCCTTTGCAAAAATAAGGGGGTGGGGGTGGGGAGAGCAAATAACTGGAGATTTTCAAGTTCCTTTCTAGGGAAAAATCTCAATAGAATGGGTAAGACCAAAAAGTGTGTGTGTGTGTGTGTGCGCGCACATGTGGGTGTGTGTGTGGGTGTGTGGTGTATCTTTTTCCAAAATAAGAGAGTAACAAGACTTTTAGAGACATTATCAAGAGTTAGACAAGTGTTATCGACAACCCAGTCGTTGTGAGCTCTCGGTGAGATTCAACCTAGTACCTGATGTACCTGGTGGTCGCTTTAACAATGTGAGACCTCAACAGAGTCACCCTCGTGGAGAACAGGAATGAGCTGTAGTTGGTCAGATCAGGGTGACCAGTTGAGACCACCTGCTCTGGGCCTTTACTTCTTGGATTTGGTGGACCCGCCCTCCCAGCAGGTAAGGTGGACTTCCTGATGGCCAGGCACCTGGCAGGCTCTGAGGCACTGAGTACACGGGGTTCGTGTCCATCCCTCTTCACTTCTGGGAGCACAAGGTGGGCAACCCCACTGCAGCGTCACCCTGCAAACCACCAGCTGTCCCGTTTCACTTTCTGAGGTGAGAATAGACTGCTGACTCCTCATAAAACTGGGATCTTGTACTCGCTTAATGCACAGTTTTTTGTGTGCCTTTTTGTTTTCCTCTTTAAAACATATTTTTAAATGAAAATTGATGTGATAGTTGCCATAACCTGTCTTTAACCTATGAGGAGACTCTGTGTCCTTTTGTACTCCCAGATTTCTGTGGCAGCTGAGTTCTTCCCCAGGTAAAGTTCTCCTTTGACACTAGGCCTCCTGGACCCATGGGGGAAAGGATGCAGTCTGTTTTCCTCAAAGTAGGAAGCAGAGCCAACTGCCATGTTTCAGAAACTGGCTTTTTCTCTGGCTACTTCCCTGGCCTCAGGTTGGGGGGAAAGCCTGGCAGCGGGCGAGTGTGCGCTGCTCCAGCCCTCTCAGTCCTGGCTGTGGCACTGCCTGGGTCTGGACCCCAGCCCCTGCCACCTGACACACCAGCAACCCAGCAGCCAGCGTGCCAGGCCAAGGTACAGGTCCCGGCTTGACCATTTGCTCCTCTGTGACCTTAAGCAGTGGCAGCCTTTTCTAGGTCCTAGTTCTCTCCTCAGTCATAGAAACGTAACTCTGCCTTTCTCAGAGGGTGTCGTGAAGAAGAAATTGAGATGATACGCATCACATGGCAGAACAGTACTGAACAGTGCTAAGCATTTACCATGTTGTTATTGCTAGGATCTTCATTATTACAGGGTCTGTGTTAGGAAAAGATCCTGTACTCTCCTGTACTCTCAGAGGTCAGAGGGCAGTGTTTCCTTTCAGGCCAGTTGGCCCAGGCCTGGCTTCCGACTGAGCAGGACTTGCTACACTTCAGTTCCCTGGCTCCTGGCTGTCTGGAAGGACCTTACATTCCAAGCCAGAGCAGAGTGGACTCCTGGGGACCAGCCTTACTTCACCCACATTCAAAAGGGCTGCATGGTAGTGATACTGTTAATCAGATGTGCAGCATGGCAGAGAGGACAGGGGATCCCCAAGTGACCGCCAACCCTGGCCGGCAGAAGTGGAAGTGAGCTCCAATCTGTGTGTGGCCTGCTGAGCCCGTGTGCCCTTTGTGGTCCTCTAAGCTTGTAGAGCGCCGTCCTCAACTCTCTCCTCCATCAGTATCCGCTTGGATGCGTTACAAGTCAGCGTGCAGTGTGGCAGCCGAGCCACTCTCTCGTCAGCAGCTGCTGCTTTCAGGCCCTGGCAGGTGCAGCGGGTCTGCTGAAGGCTGTCCAGAACCGTGTCACTGATGAATGTCCCCCACGTAGGCCTGGCAGAGAAGCCCCCACCCAGCCATGACGTGACACAGCTTTCGCGAGAGGCAAACCGGAATGAACTGTGCTTGGGCTTCTGCGCTCTGCCTTGGCGAGGGAGGGGCTTCTGCCCATGGATGAGCAGGGTGTGAGAGAGCTCACATTTCTAGGTGAATCCAGGGCTTATGGCTTTGTCCTCCAAATCCCAACTCCCTGCTCCCAGGGCCAAGTGACCCGTGTTCCTACCAACTGTTCACTCTGCCCACACGTCCGAAGCTGTGCCTGTGCCTCTGTGGCTTGAGACACCCTTTATTTCACGCAGCCTTCTTCCATTTTTTAATAGTTTGAGATATCTACATACCATACAGTTTACCTATTTAAAACGTGCAACTCAATGGTTTTAGTATATTCAGAGTTGTGCTACTGTCACCAGTGTCTAGTCTAGGATATTTTTACCTGCCGCATACACGCACACACACAAACCAATCCCATACCCTTTAGCAGTCAGGCCCCATGCGCTAGCAAGCCTCCTCCTTGTAGTCCTAGGGAACCACTCATCTACTTTGTACCCTCTACAGATTTGCCTGCTCTTGACATTTTATAAACATGTAGTCTTTACAACTGGCTTTTTTCACTTTGTATAATATTTTTAAGGTTGATTCATTTGAACTTCATATCTTTGCGTGGCTGAATAATACTCACTTTGTGTGAATATAGTTTTTTTAAACATTTGTCAATTGGTGGATATCTTAATTGTCCCCACTTTTTGACTGTTTATGAATAATACTGCTGTGCATGTCCATGTACAAGTTTTTTGACACCGTATGTCTTCATTGGTCTTGAGATATACCTAGGAGTGGCACTCCCGGACCGTACAGCTGCTCTGGGTTTAACTGTTTGGGGAAATGCCACTTGGTTTACAAAGAGGTTACACCACTTTACATTCCTACCCCCTGAAACTTTTGTTTCCTTTAAGTAGTTTACATAGTTTTAAAAAGATACCTACCCGATGTTGACCAACAGATCATTTCCTTGCCTGCAGAGTGTGTGCCTCGCAGATTCTCGGCTCACTTCCACCCTACAGCTTGGTCACCATCATAAATCCTATAATAGGAAATGGGAGCAGGAGCAAGGATTGGCTGGACAGATGAGAGCCTCCTGTGATTCCCAGGAGTCACGGCAGACTTCCCTGACATGTTTGTTTTTATTGTTTAAATTTTTTAAAGACGATAAAACCAATCAAAATAAACCAGTATAAGAGATACAGGACTTCTAACCACTACAAAATCAACAATAGTTACCATAATGTGTTTGGATGTTTTCAAAATAGCTGCAGATAACTTTGGACATTGTAAAGAAATCAAACAGAACAGAACAGAACAGAATGAAAACAAAACAATAAATGCAGTAAAGGACTTTACAACAAGCCTATAGTAAATCCAAAATTGCTACCATAATATATCTTGTTATCTTTGAAATAGCTGCTGCTGCTGCCTTTGGATTTAACACAATCAAACAAAACAAAAAAGAATAAAACCCAACTCAAAAATGGAAACGATATAGGACTTTAAAACAAGGCCATTGGGAACCAACAATGGCTGCAGCCCTCAGAAGGAGCTCCCCCTAGATGCCACACTGCGCACCTCTATCCTCTGACCCCATGATCAGACCCCTGACCCTAACCCTGAAATGTTAGTGAAACATCACAGCACCACAGGCATCCAGTTGCACAGCGGCCAGTGCACGGCACTGGTTCCCACACTGGGCTGGTTTACTCAACATGTTTGTTTTTAATCAGCCATGCTAATGACTTCACATTCCCTGAAGAGCAGAGCCAAATTAAACCCAAATTAAATCCCACCTCTCATCTCATCTCCAGGAGAAGAAATACCATGTTAGGTAAGAGATCGTTTCCCTTGTTACATTTCTTACTAGTTTAGTGCTCGAGATACTAAGTGAGGGCCGTTTAACCTAGATGCTCTGTCGTCAGGCCCGTCAGAAGGTTTCTGAATGACAGGTTTAGATCGCACACGCACACGCTGTTGTGCATGCTGTATGTGCTGTGTTTCCTGTCTTCTTTTTTAGGAATAAGAGAGAGGAACAGGAAAGAGCACGTGAAGCTGGGAGTCTGTCGTCTCCTAAGCATTCATGTCACGGCCTTGGGATTCCGGCCTGTGCTGAGACTCTGGCGCGGCTGCTTAGTCAGCTCTCGGACTTTGTGCCGTGGGGGATGGAGTGTAATACTCAGAAATAACTCTAGTTTCAGCCCTTGCCAATCTACTAGGAAACTGTTTGCTTCACCAAGAGTACCTCATGTAGTAACTGGAAAGAGAAAAACTCGTGTTCTCAGGAACATTAGTCATCTGGAAGCAACGTGATTAGCTATACCTGGAAAACTCATGTGGCACTAAACTCACTAAAATTGAGTTCTTGGGATACTTTTGTCTGATGTGAGAGGAGCTGGATCCCGTCATTACCCTGCAGGGGACAGCACCAGTGCCCGGAAGAGCTGTCCTGAGGTTTTAGCTGATGGGAAGCAACCTCTCCAGGGAGCCCTGAGCTGCTCTGAAGTGGGGTGATAGGAGAGCTCCCGAGGGGGGTCTCTCAGCCTCCTCACTGTGTTCACCGCCACACCCACACCCGGCACCTCCCACTCACCTGGACAGGGCCACCGGGCCCAGCAGTTCCCGTCACTTCTCCCTTCTCCCCTCCATGCATTCACTACACAGTGAAAGACAGGCGTCTCATCGTGTTGCCTCCTGCCCACGGTATCCCAGTGGCCTCCCTTGCTCTGAGAATGATTTACAGTGCCACCCATGGCCCACTGCCTGCCCATCCCGCTTTCTTTTCCCCTCACTTGACATATTACACCTCACAGGTCGCCTTTATGTTCTGAAATAGGGTTACTAAACTTTGACCTGCCAGGAAAATCCAACTTGCCATTTATTTTTGTAAAAATGTGCCACTGGAACCCAGCCACCCATGCCTTTCTTGTGTACAAGTTGTCTGTGGCACTACAGTGGCAGAGTCCAGTAGAGATGCAGTTGCTGTCAGGCCCTTTATGGGAAATTTGCAGGCCATGGTTCTGAAATCCTATCAGATTTTTCCACATCTTACGGCCTTTGCATTTGCATCACCCACATCCTGTTGGGCCCTTTGGATCATTTAGGTTATAGCTTTTTGGTCTCCCTTCCTACCTGTATCAGTCCCAGTCAGAGTCTGTGTCTGTCTTTTCCCTTCCTGACACTACTTAAAACTACATGCTTGTTCACTGATTGTCCTTCCCCAGAACAGAATCTTGCCTCTTTGTTCTGTATTATGTACACCAACCTAACATAGTGTCTGGCACATGGTGGGAGCTCCAGAGACTTTCTTAAAGGAGTGAATACATTATCACTACCAGATGTCTGAAGCTCTTCAGTTAGGGCTTCTTCTGCTGGGGATGGTCAGCCATTAAAGACCTTAGCCACACACTTGCTCCTAATCCTCAGTGAGCCAACGAGGGAAGAAAACCCTAAGTTGTGTGTGCAGGGATATACGGTATATCTAAGGGTACAGCTAGAGAAGGTGATGGGCAGGAAGCACAGCCCTGCGGCAGCAGTGTATGTGCATTCTGTGCCTGCTGGGCTGCAGCAAAGCCACCCGGGCAGCTTGCTGCACAACTCCTTGTGTCTTCATATGGACACTGGTATAATTCGTTGGCCATTGGGCACAATTTAGTCCACCAAGGACTTACTGAGTGTCCTCAATGCTCAGGACATTGGACAGGTAACACTATAGAGGTTAAGACAAAAACCCTGAGGTGACATGTCCTGCGCTTTGATGTCCCTCCAAAGACCTACCAACTATGTAATTTGAAGCAAGATATTCAACCTTTCTGAGCCTCAGGTTCTCAGTAAAATGCAGTAGTATCACTTGACTTTGTAGTCGCTCTGAAGCTAGAAGGTATGCAGGTGATGTGCTCATTAGCAGAGAGCCTGTCAGTGGACTCCTGTACCACAAATGCATTATTGTTCTTTTCCTCAAGGAAGGAGCACATTCTCTGGTTGAGTTAGAGCAGGATAAAGTGGGAAAGAAAGGGCTCATTTTCTCAAGTCAGACGAGGTTCCATTTCTGGTTTTACCATTGTGACTTTGTACTGATAAATTTACCTCTCTGAGCCTTTCTTTCTCATCTTTAAAATAGGAATGATAACAGTACAAGCTAGACTTGTGAGGATGAAGTGAATCATTGTATCTAAAACTCTGAGCACACGGCAGCTTGACAGTCAGCACTTCTGGTTAGGTTTTACGGCTATAATTCTTGAGGTAGAGGGAGAACCGTTAAAGGCTGTCAAGCCAGAGCGTGCTGTAACACAAGCCAAAATGCACTGAAAAACTAGGTAGAGAAGCAAAGCTTCACATTTGAGCAGCGTATTAATAGGACCCAAGAATACTATGTGGGATGCTGTGAGCCTTCTAGGAGTTAGGAGGAAGAAGAGAGCAGGCAGAAGCTGTGCCATGACACTATTTCTGAACAAAGTGGGACTTCGGCTAAGCCTGAAAGCCCAAGGACAGGAAATGGCGAACAACGGGAGCTTTAGGAGACACCTCCCTCCTCCAGGAGATAATGAGAACTTACGTTTTAATTTTATTATCATCTTCATTATCAAGGTGTTTGGGCCCAGAAAAGTCATAGCTCTTAACTGTGAACTGGTTAAAATTGAAGTTCCTGGGCCCCACTGCCCAGTATTTGGCTTTAATTGACTTGCACGTGACTTGGGAGCACACCGTGTTCATAAGCATGCAGGGGATGGTGATGCACACGGTCTGGCACAGCGCTGAGATGAATCCTGGTTAGAAGATTCCAGAGAGTCGGCAGACTGACCCAAAGGCTGCTTTGTCCCCTGCCATCCTGGATCCCATGTGGCATACCTCTTGGCCTCTAGTTGTAGGGCATCCCTTGTCCTCTCCAGTGTTTCTCTTAGTCTGCAAATCCCATTTCTGATGTTTGTATGTGCCTTGAACTGCTGGCTGGGAAGGGAAAAATGTCTGGAGGAGGTAGCCTTGGTGTACCTGGGAAGTAACAACTCAGCTATTTGCTTGGCTGTCCACTGGGAGAGGTCTTTCTACTGCTTAATTTGCACAGTTGGTTGGTTGGTTCTTTTCTAGGTCTTTTTTTTTTTTTTTTTTTAGCAATGAATTTGATTTGTTCATTGAGTTCTGAGTTTCAGTGGACCAGGTCTTCACCCAGGTAGTGGTGGAACAGTATATTGAACTCATCCATGTGACTGATCAGATGATGGAAAGCACCCCGTGAACTGACCCGTGTGTAGCCTTCACAGTGTACCTGGTTTTGTCAGAGTACATTATCCATGTTGCGGTCTCTAATCCTCAGAGGAGCCTACCAAAAGGGAGAGATTTTATTGTCTCCATTTTATAGGCATAGAAGTGGGAGTGGTCTTGGAAAATTCCACTGGGTGGACGGGCAAAGGGCAGGGGTATTTGGGTGTTATTTTGGGGCAGTCTAGGAGGATCTTGGTAACAGGAGAGGCCAGATTGCCTTTTTTTTTTTTTTGTACCAGGGATCAAACTTGACCTCAAGCTTGCCAGGCAGGTGCTTATGCCACTGAGCTAAATCCATGGCCCCTGGGCCAGGTTGCTTTAAAGCTGTGTGTCCTTCCACAGCATCTCTCTCTCTACTCTTGTGGTGGTTGCTATGGATCTATAGTATCCTTGCTACTTTGCCTTTAGTATTGAACAAATGACAGGAAATTGTATAAGTTTTGGAGGCCAAATAGTAGCTGTTTGACCTTGTCTTTTTCTGAAGAGGCGTTTGAGGTCTATACAGGTTTGACATTGATCTTCTATAAGCCTTGTCTACACGCGCTTGTCCTTTTGCTCCCTACCCTTTAGTTCCTTTGGTTTCTGTTCTTTCCCTATAAGCCAAAACTAGAATTACATGGTAGTGTTGGAACAGAAATGCTTTTCTAAAACAAGCTCAAGAAGTCACTTAATTAGCCCAGAAAGAGAACAGAGGAAATTCATTCTCTCCAAACAATCTTGGATAATTGGAGTTTTCCTGATACTTTAAGAGTAAACGCCTTGCTACACCCCAGAGTGATCTGTTTGTCTCTGATTCCCCCCTTGTAGTTTCACTTTTACTTCTCTTCCTTCCTGCTATTGATTACATTGCAGGCTCAGCTGGATTTTTCTATAATCTTTATAATATCACAGTGGTTTCCATGGAGATGGATTGTGATGTCACAGAAATGGATCTATACTCTTTGTATACTGAAAAATCAAAGAGACAGTAGCTTTGAAAATTGCAGTAGAAAGAGGAAGAAGACAGCTTTCATGTGTTATATAGGACGGAGGAAATTCTAGAGTGCTGGAAGGAAATAACAAAGGGCCTGAGTGGAGCGAAGGAGAGCATTCAGAAGCTATAAAATGCAAAACAGAAAGCACAAAAGGACTTTGCAAGGAAATTCGAATTAGGGGATAAGGCTTCAAAGGAAAGTAAAATGCATGATTAAAAGCTAAATATCCATAAAGACTGCTTCATTAGTGGTCCTCCGCAGGCACTCCACTTGGTTCATAGCTGCTACTAAGTGGGGACGTGGGTACATCCTGTATGAATGGATGGATGGATGGAGGGATGGATAGATGGGTGAATGGATGGGGGAATGGGTGGATGGATGGATGGCTGATGGGTGGATGGAAGGATGGGAAGATAGATGGGTAAGTGGATGCATGGGTGATACATATAGATGGAGATTAGACGTCAGCTTAAAAAGTATAAATGTGTCATTTATAGTTTAAACATGGGACTTCAGAAAGTCCATGAAACTCCTAAAATTGCATGCAAAATTTTGAATGTCTGTGTCTCTTTTCTTTTTTGTTCTGGAGAAACATCAGACCAGCCTTGATCAGAGGGTTTATATGCCACAAGAGATTAAGAGTCTCTGGCTGAAACGAACCCTAGAAGCGATTACATTCATTCTCCAGACTTTCTTCGTACACAGTCCACAGCATGCAACTTCCTGTTCTGTCTACATCATCACCTCTCCTCTCTCTCCCTTTCCTGTACAGTTCATCCATCCCAGGAGCCTGGCTGGTTGGAGGGGACTCTGAACGGAAAGACTGGCCTCATCCCTGAGAACTACGTGGAGTTTCTCTAACCGTGAGCCTCAGCAGAACTGCTGTGCTTTACATGGTATCCATGACAACTGCTGATTCCAGTGTGTTAGCTATTTCTCGTTGCTGCTGAGAAGTGCGAGGAGACTGACTTGGTACCTGTCATCATGAACGTTTCTGGGAACTCACGTCACCCATCTCCATGATCATCTCAGCTGACATGTGGCAATTCTGCAAGCAGAAGTCAATCCGGACAGGAGGCCATTTGATTTTGATAATTTAGAGAAAGACTTGCAATGCTTTCTTAGGAGACTCTTAGATGGAAAATGCTGAATTTATTTCAACAGTCATCCAGATCCCCAGCCTTTTGAAAAAGAAAGTAAAATATAAGTTGTCCCCAGGAGCACACAGTGTAACTAAGTTTGATAGGGCAGGGCAAAAAAAAAGGCAGCAAGATCTGGCTGGCTCCGTGGCGTTGTTTACCGCTGACATGCTCTCTCCGCCTGCTCCTGCTACTTCAGACCCACATTGCAGCAGGCAGCGGGGTCTGTCTGTCCACAGGCAGGCTGGGGAAGGGTTGTGGCCTTGCTTATGTAAGATCCAATTTCTCACCCTCTCTGAAGCAGCCATTGGCCTCTCATCAGTAAAATTCAGGCCAGCCTTTTCATGCAAAGGAGCAAGCTCACCCATGTCCTCCCCTCCTGAGCTAGGAACTTCTCTGAGCTGAGGGCTGCTGTTGCCTAGCAACCTTGGCAACGCTGCTTACTCTAAAAGCAAACCAAACACTTCCCCTATCCCTTCCCTTCGTGGTAGTTTTGTGAATGGCCTTGCAACAACCTAAAGCAGAGGATCAGGGTATTGGGGTGGGCTCTTTGGGGCAGACAACTTCGCTTTCTGAATTTCAGCAGCACCAAGATGTACGTAGAGCAAACTCTAGTAATGCTTTGCAATTCAGTTACATGCAGGCTTAATGTTTCTGTTGTCTACACAACTGGTGTTTGCTTTCTGGGGGGGGGGGGCAGATGCCGCCTCCCAGTGGGTGACAGCATCTGACGGTCCCCTACATCTTCCCTTTCACTCATTCCTGCCCCTGCCTGTTACTGACCAGCCCTATACAGTGCTTTGGGCTCCTGAGTACTGGTGCCCTGTAATTTTCAGGGATGACTCTGGGGTTTCACTATGGTCTATTGTTTCAAAGGATATCTGCATTCACTGCCACCCAGAAGAAAGGAATTTCAGGCTTTTGAGGCATGAGACCTTTGAGACTCAGGAAGACAGCCAAAGGTTGGGCCAGGGAGGCAGGGACAGTACCTTCCAAGAAAGGGAATTTCCTGGTCAGTGGGCGGTGGGTCTTAATGAAGACCACCTCTTATGGAGAAGTTCCACCAGGACATTTCACACTCAGCCTCCAGAGAACAATGGCCATATCTCCCATATGTGAATGTCTTTGCAAGAGGGACTCTGGACTCTGGACAGACAAGCTCCCCAGAAGGCCCTCGGATAGCAGCATCACTCCAGAGAGCGTTTCCTGTTTCTGGAATTCCATTAGGGGACCTTTAATGAAGAAAAGGAAAAACTTGAATTGTGTTGAATTACTGTATCTTTTACTTTACTCTTTAAGATAAACTTGTAAATAGAGTAATTTGAAATACTATATGGCAAAGTTTTATATTTGATATTCTTTAAGCTAGTTGCTCTACATATTTAGGCTTTGATTGCTAAAGAAATGTGTTAAGAGAAGGACACAGCCAGGTTGCAGAGTCAAGGTTGTGGTCCCCTCTCTGGGCTGCAGGAAGGACAGGGTATTCCTGTGTGTTCCCTCTGTCCCCTCCCACTGTGGGTGTGACTGAACGATGGTGGTCAGCCTTCTGTATCTACATGTGTTATTAAGAATTCCTTGAGCTTTGAGTTTAGAGATGGACTATCTTCAGGCAATGAGAGTTACAAAGAACACTTCCTTAGTAGGAGGATAAAGCTCAGGATTTAAATCAGTGGGGCCAGAGGTTTTGGGGGTGTTTTTTTTTTAGTGTTTTCTTCTCAGGTGTATTTCTTGGTACCCCAAGATATCAGGACAGGACAGAAGAGAATGGGAAAGTTGCTGTGCTCCTTGCTTCTGAGGCTTTATAAATGAGGTCACCGTAGTATGCAAATTTTGTGTGTGTGTGTGTGTGTGTGTGTGTGTGTGTGTGTGTGTAAGTTCTAAAAAAAAACAAACCAGGCTTAGGATCTTAGTTTCCCATGTACTTTGCTGTTGCTTCCCTGTCTGCTCCTGATTCCCTGTGACCCCAGAATAACAAAGAGACTCCAAGATGGACATAGATTGTGCCACTCCAGTTTTAAAGATGGCTTTAAAGTTAACAGATTTCGTCATTGTGTTTCACTAGTCAATTATTTCAAAGAGTATAAAGTACCTGTTACCCAGGACCTCACCCAGAAGCCAGCAAGATACTACTGTAGAATCAGGGAGCAACAATTAAGTGTGGACAAGATTGTGACAGGACTCAAGAATACTGTCATTGAAAGACCAAGGGGAAAAATGAATGAACTCATCAAAGCCAAACCTATTCCCCTGGGACTTGGGAATGAGAAGAAAGTGGGAAATGGGCCTGATACGGGTGCGTGCGCGTAGATTATTGTGTTTTCCAAATTGGAAGAGCCCAGCAGAATGCTTTGGATACATTTGACATTTTAAATTGTCACCTGCCCCGTCCTAACTGGAACTCACATGGAGAGTCAGAGGCCAAGGCTCTTGCTTAAATGTCCTTGCTGAAGCACACTTGTAGACACTTGACCCCGGCTTGTCTGTTTGGAAGCGTCTGCCTCCCTCCTGAGCTGGCCCTGCCTGGAAGCTGCTGCCAAGGAGATCTTATAGGAAAACCTCTTTTCCACTTCACTAAGACCACTCTGGGCCTGTGACAGATGACTGCTACTTCCCTGTGTCCCTCCAGGCTTCCCTGTCTTCTGTTAGGTGGAGAAACTTCAGAATGTGAACCACCATGCCAGAAGGAACTTGAAGATTAAAAAGAAATTTTACTCTCTCCATTGTCTATGCCCCTACTCCTGATTCTGTTTAAATAGAAAACTTAAGGCAGATTAAAGGAATGGACTGGTATCAGAATAGAAAATCAGGGCTGAGGATTTAGCTCAGCGGCATAAGCAAGTGCAGTCATGAGTTCGATCACCAGTACCAAAAAAAAAAAAAAAAACAACAGGAAACCATTCGCCAGGGTTCCTAAGCTGGTCCTTTGTGATGCTCAGAAATCAGCTATAGCTTCATATTTTTCACTCTTCCTTTGGAGAGACAGAGTTCCATAGCTAAACAATATCATGGCATGAGGAGATAGCTAGTTTCAAATCCATACCCCAGGCAAGTAAAATCCTGATAGACTAGGAAATCTTCTTTTCAAAATAAATACACAAGAATAGGTCATGCACAATACAACCCTTTTTGGCATTCTAGCATTAGATCCAGCTTTTTAGTGTATTCATAAAGCATGTATTTTTGTGAGAGCTTTTTGGACAGCGAGACAAAAAAAAAAAAATAAGCAACAAGAATTGGCACAATGATATTAGCGGGACAGAGCCTTTGCTAGTGGCATGGTCATTTCAGGCACTTGCCCAAGACTCCAGAGATGTACGTACCATTTCTGAGCTCGAAGAGAGATTCTGTCGGCTGAATCTGTCTTACGAAGTTGGTAATCACAGTCACACTAAAAGCTCCCACATCTTTAAAGTGTCCAAAAGCATCTGCGACTGAGGGGGGTAAGAGAGACAGAATGCTCAAGCCATCCTGATCATCTGTTCAGGACTGCTTATTGACACCTTAAGTCTTCTGGCTTCTGCCTCCAAAAGCAAGCCCGGCTCACCTAGCTTTACGGACATGGGACTCCCAGGTAAACCAGGCCACCCTGGCACCCATCATTTGCTCTAGCATTGTTTTATGAGCAACCATCCCACCCTACAGGTCGCTGGCATTGAAGGGACCAAAGAGCCTCTTAGCTACCTGACTTTCAAAGGAATGTCCTAGGTATTCTGTGAGCAATTATGTTGACAAACCTGCCCCACATCCCTGTAAAGTCGGCACAGTACCCTCTCACACACCCTGAGCTGGTGTTTTAAAAATGTGTCTTATCGCACTCAGAGTGTGTTTGGCAGCCATGCAGATCTGGGCGCTGAACCACTTCTCTGTAATTGTAACATCAGAATGACAACAGCACAGAGCTGTGAAATGTGCGCAGTTCTACAGCATACCTGAGACAAAAGCCAGCGAGCAATAATTAGCTTTCTTCCTTTTGCTCCCTACAGTACTTGTCTAACTGAAGAACTTTCCACAGCAGAGAATCTAGATGTCATTCAGAGCCAGCCTTTGCTGAAATGTGGTCTTCTAGTGGAAGCCCTTGTATTTAGGGGAGAAAAAGGATCAGATGTAACCAAACCAGAGAAAAAGAGCAAGGCAAACCATACTGAAGAATTTTGAATGTTTTCAAAGGAACAAAGTATTGTTCTTAGGAAGAAAAACTATCAGAAAGATTTCACACAACTAATATTTTTATGAAAGCTTAGCAGGACGTTACAAAGTGAAAATATCTTTCAAGGTGGATTGCTTTAGAAAGCAAAGCCTGGGCATAGTCCTAGATACATAGAAAAGTAGCACTTAACCAAGTTTATAGTTATGTCAAATTTTTTGCATTAGACTGTTGATAACCAAAATGTCCGAGTCACTTGGAGCAACCCAGACTGGCTACAGCAGTCTGCATCAGCCGTTTCTGTAGTCATCAAAAGGACTACAAGCCGCTTTCTTGAGTATTTAAATGCCAGGATCAACCTTGGATCTGCAAAGATACATCTAATTATTGTAAAATGTGTGTGTGTTTGTGTGTATGTGTGTGTGTTCGTGCGTGCACATATCTACATCTGTAAAGATACAGACTCACATAGAGACCCGCTCAAACTGGCAGTTGCTGAGCATTTACAGCCTTGATGATTCGAAAATTGAAAATTTTTAAAAAAGGCTATCAATGGCCTACTGAAAGATCAAAGATGTAAATTAAGTGCCATTTTAAAACTGTGTTCATATTTATCAAATAGATATTATCTACAGCTGTGTTCCTTATTAACTTATTAAAAGTCTTGTTGGAAAAAAATCAATCCCATAAATGCTTAGTAGCAAATGCTAGGCTAGTGTTCAAAGGCACTCTAAAATAAACATTCTGTCCATATTTTGAGAAAGAAACTATTTGCATGTTTAATTTATAATTTAGGCTACTTTGATTATACTGTAAAGTGCTGTGTGATACAATATCAATAAAGTACTTATAAAATGGCACTTTAATGTTTTCTTTTTAAAAATACCATAAATAATGCACTGTTTTAAAACTTCAGTATTGAATATTGACTGGTGCATAGAATCAAATTCCATAATTAAAAAAAGGAGTATCTGTGACTAGAATAGAATATTTTTCCCTGTTATTAGAGAAACAGTTTGCCATGTTCAGGCTTTTGTAAAAAAAAATGTGTTTTGTGTCACTGTGTACATCTATAAAGAAAATACACTTTCTGCTGAATGGCCTCTGAAACTTAGCTTTCTTACATTTGGTTGGTTTATGTGACAATTCCTATGAAATGAGTGGAAGTATGATTTTTGAATTAAATGACTTTTCCATTTGGTGGTATGTTTGTTTCTTGAGTTTCTGATACATTTTGACTTGAAAAATATTTTAATATTTCTTCCAAGAAGCACATACACGCTATGATCAAAGATCTCCTGCCCTGGTAGGCGATAGGACTGACTTTGTGATGAACTTGGAGGAGCTTTGTGTTCCAGTGAGGTTTTTCTTTTTGCAGTGCGAGGGATTGAAACCAGGTCTGCTTGCATTCTAGGCAAATGCTCTACAGCTGAACTATATCCATGGCCTTGTTTCCTAGTTAAAAAGTGATCAAATGCTCTTACACTTGAGAATACATTGCACAATTAAGCCTCAAAATGTCATGTTCAGTGTAACATTTCTGACTTTATCTCCTAGAACACATACTGTTTTATTGTTCAAAAAAAAAATCAGTTTTCTAATCAGTCACTCTTTCATGGAACTTCATGAACACAGCATGGCATAATCAAAGGAGCCAGAACACGAGCAGTCACGCTGTCATCTGTTGCAAACGATCCTTTAGAATTTGAAACACGTTGCCGCAGGCCAAGCCACATGCTTCGGGTTTCTTATCCATCATACCTCTTGCAGCAACACCCCAAGTTGCAGCCTGGGACCCAAGTTTAAAATGAGTTCCTAGCTTCTGCTGCAAGTTCAGGGGCCTCACTATCCTCTGTGAAGGAGAAAAATGGGGAACCAGGGCTCTGGAGCCCAAAGGTGAGGCTTCTGACTTCAGACAGCTGCCTAGGGGCAGGAGGAAAAAATGGGATGCCCCCCTGTAGCAGGGTCTCAGGAGATGGTTATTGGAATCTGGCTCACCCAAATGAAACCGTTGTCCTCGTTTTCCATTTAAGACTGGTTTACCCACTGGGCAGCACAGGTTTCTAGCGTCTGCTTCCTCGCCAAGCCTGCTGGCTCCTGGAAAACTCTCCCAGTACCCAGGGCCTCCTACGTGGGTAGCAGCATTCAGCACCTAGGTGTGGCTTCCCAGAGTGTGGCGCACATGTATATCTGATGCCGTTAGAAGACAATGAGCCATCTGGTGTGTGTTCATATCTGTGGCCTTGGCCTTTCCAACAGACTTCTCAGTCGCTTCAACTTTCACATGTTCCTAACAAAGGTTTTCATTTTCATTTTGCTTTTAGCACCCACTCAGCAGAGCTCAAGTAGTCACGTCCTGTGCTCTGCTCCATGGTTTTCACTTGCTAGTTCTGGCTGCACAGTTCGTTGTAAGAACACCTCAGTCAGAAATGGACTCGATGCACACTTGAAATTAGGCAGATGTTAGACGGTGGGTGTGAAGACAGGTTTTCTCAGACCCCAAATATGCCTGCTCTCTTGACAATTATGTCATGGCTTTCATGTCTTCTTTTCTCAGTTCTTTCTCAACCTCCACTCAGATACCACACATCTCCTCTACCCCCAACGTGTCAATGTCATCGGCTTGCTCTGCTTTTAATAGCACAGAGCTAAGCTGCAACTCATTAACTGTGCTGAGCTGGTCCGTATTGGCTGGCTGCAGCCTGCACAGCAGCCAAGGGAGGCTCTCACAACACTCGCTGCTCAACATGGGTGAGGCTGCTTGCATGGGAGAGCTTCCAATAGCTGTCTTTAAGATGGGGTGTGTCCATGCCACATTCCCCCCACCGCCACTGCCACCCCTCAACACCCTGCAGACAGCGGGGACCAAGGCGAGAAGGTTTTCCATTGAGATGATCAAAATTGAGATCTGCTGTATCACACAGCATTTGGCAACCCCTTCCACTACATATTTATCCAGTCTTTTACGTAACTGACCCTGGAGCCTCTTAACTAAAGTCCAGGTAACTAATGTCTTCTCAGTAACAACTAGCAAATCAGTGGATTTCAATTCGTGGGTCCTATCATCAATACCAAATCACATCCAGCTCTTTATCCATGCTAAAGTTCACATACGTATTCTAACACTGCATAAATGTCCTTGCATTTTGAGTGCGTGGGTTATTAGCTTTTTTTTAAGTATTCAGTGTGGGGGTTTTTTATTTTGGGTCTTGTTTTTTGTTTTTTTTGTTTTGTATTGTCTTTCAAATCTTCCTCTGTGAAAAAGCTGAAGCAAAAAACCTGAGTTTTATTAGAATTGGGCACTCAGAAGCACCTGGTAAATGTGACCCTTGGCAAACTCCATTTGCTCATGGACTCGGACTGAGTTCTATCAGTGCAAGACCTCACTGCTCCCTTCAGGGTCACACAGCCGTGCTCTTTTCCAGCCTCTTCAGAATGTGTATGCCACAAGGAACCACAAGCCAAAATACCCCTTTGCCATCTGGGTTACATAGGCATTGTGTTAGGACTCACATGCCAAGCCAGAGCCTGCATTCGAGCAAAACCACATTAGAATCACCTCATCCATTAAAAGTACTCTTGTCTAAGGACCCAGCAAGGGAATTCCGCACAGTCCCATGGGCATTTGATCTGGTCTCCAGCACTCTGACTAAGGCAATTCTTTGTGTCTGGTTGAAATTTCCCATGTTTCAGCTTAAATCTATTTCTGTTCAGATTTTCCTACAATGGAGAATAACTGACCATCAGCCTTCAAGAGCAATCACACATTCTATGTTTCCATTCAGAAGTCGCTTCTCAACCACCTCTTGTGTACCCGGAGCTACTTCCCTCAGGAAGTGGAGGACGTGACCTCTGTCGTCACAGAACTCGGCCTAAGGGAGAGGTGGCTGCCACGTGGGGAGTAAGAACCAGAGAGAGCCTCTCGGAAAAGTTGGCACCTTGAAAGAGGGAAAGAAATTCACCCTTATGCAAACAGAAAGGTCACAAGCAGAGGGACAACAAGCATGCAGGTAGGAGTGAGGGTCACTCAGTGTGACTGGAACATGAGGAGAACATGGCTTTCTGGAGAAAGGAAAACGTCACCCTGACCCACAACCCACCGTAGCCTTGAGGCTTGTGTTTTCCCTCACTGACAACAATATTGGCCAACATTTACTTATCACTGGGCACCTGGCACTGTGTGATGCCAACTCACTCAATCCTCAAGGCCTGCAAACATTACTACCGTCTTACAGGTGAGAAAACTATCAGAAAGCTCACAAGCTAGGAAGCTAAATTTCCCAGATAGGTCTATCTGCTTCTAGAACCCACTTACCCTTCTGAAATTTCCTTAAAAGTTTCTGGACTGGGGATGTACCCCAGTGGTACAGCATAAAGTTGCTAAGCATAAAGTTAATCTCCAGTACTGGCCCCCAAATATCTTTAGATAGGCACATGTGATTTTCCATAAATACATACACCTAGTCACATCACAAGTGATTATTTTTTAATTTGTTGGAAGTTTTTGACTTGGCCGTGCCATCCCTCCCCAGCAGTCTCCTCCTTCCCCAGAACTGATAGCGAGGGCTGCCCTTTGCCCGTCCCAGCAGAGAGCCCTTCAGAAAGCTCAGCGCCTGGCATGCTTACAGCTGGGGCTTTGCAGGGGCAGGAATGGAGGCTACATACATTTTGATGAAAGAACTTTCTTCCTTGGAGCCCTTTGTTCACTCATCTTGAGTGAGTGGTCCCCATTTGGGGAAGTCATGCAGACACTTTGGGCTCTCTAGGTGCTCCAGGAACCCCAGATGCAGGCCTGGCCAGTCCTATCACCCGTGAACACGCTGCCTGGAGGCAGCCATTGCACAGGCCAAGCCATGTTTGGCTGGCTGAAAAATCACTAATATAATTTTTTTTTAAACTTAATTTGAAAACAGTCCTTTTCCCCACCCTGATCCAGCTGTTGAGGACAGATCTACTAGCTCTTGTGGGATTGCCAGGGAAGTCTCATGAGCTTGTATCTTCTGTTGGGATAACCAGTGTTTCTAGCCCTGTCTGCTTTTGTTCAGAATTAGAGAGTTTTCAAGACTTTTTTTTTTTTTTTTAAAACTCCTTAAGCCTCACAAGATTTGGGAGAAGTCAGAGCTATAGGCAAGCTCAGGGCTGATGACAGCTGAGATCCTGCAGGGCACAGGGAGTTCTGACTTCCACTGAGACAGGCTCCTGGTGGAAGCCTTCACATGGCTCTGCAGTCCCTGAAGGGCTAACCCCTGATGCTAAGATGACAGTGATGGTGCTCCCTAAGTCTCACTTAGGGAGCATCAGATGCATTGACTTACATATACATGGTCTCATTCAATCAGTCCTGTGAAGTGAGTACTGTTGCTACTGTCTTTTGCAGATGAGGAAGCCAAATATTAGATTGAGTAACTTGTTCAAAGTCATGAGTTAATAAATAACGGAGCAGAGATTTGACCTGAACTGACCCAAGAGCTTGTGCGCTTAACCCTCATGCTTCCTGACTCTGGCAAGGGCTCAGGAGCCCTACCACGAATGCCTTTCAATTCTCCCATCCCAGGAGAAGCGCTGTTCTTATCTGGTTGGCCTTTTTCTAGTAGCAGCACCTTGGTGTTGGGAGAGCCACCTGTCCCTCCCTAAGGTCCCAAGGGTTGTGTGGCCTGACAGCAGCTCCGGATCCGTGGTGGCCATGTGGCCTTTGTCTGACCTGTGAGATCATCCAAACCCACCCAGCCAAAGCGATTGGTTGATTCAGTAACTGACCCTGGCCTAACCGAGCCCACAGTTTCAGGGCTTTGTCCCTGAGCAAGGTGGAGGGGACACTGCAGGGAACTCAGTATCAGGGAAGAGCAGTCAATTTGGTGCCCACAGCCTCTGATGAATTCTTAGCAAAGCTCTGGCTGCCAAGCGCCTTTATTTGAAGGCCCAGTATGAGAGGCCCCAGCTTTAGGTGAATTCTCTGGTAAGAATATAACATATCAGTTAGAAAAGTCACTTCAGAGAGCAAGCAGAACATTTAACATATGCACTGCAATATAAAATGATTACACACTGTTCTCGTTTGATCAATCCTGCAATTGGCGAAACTTTTTTTCACTTGGCAAGGAAAGCCAATGTTTCAAAATCTGACATTTGTTACCCATTTCGGGGCGTGAGAAGCCATAACTGGATCTCCTAACAGGAATCTACTGGGTCAGTCAGAGCCCTCTGCA